CCAGCTTATACATACAGACCTATAACCCAGGCCCTCCCAGACACCGGGGAAAATCTTCCCTCAGATCAGCTTATCAGACCAATGCAAGGCTTAGGGGACCTCACTGGTCAGGGGATCTGAGAGCTCCTGGGTCCTGAAACACAAAGAATGTTTGCCATCCCAATGGGCTCAGGAACTGATCTACATGCCAGACTGCAGCACCTTGCAGAACATCCAGCTGAAAAGTACCCGGTTCACTTTTAGTAATTACTTTTAAATGGTATAACCTGAACACACGGTAGTAAACATTCAAAAAGTGCCAACAGTAGAGTGAAAAGTAAGCTTCCTTCTCTCCTCAAACCCCATTTACTCTCAGTACATTCTGGATGGATGGATGACTGGTTGTTAGTAATGGGGAAAACACAACATCAAATTTATGAAGCCCTAGCTTCAAGTAAGTAATAAATAGATACTTAAAAGAAAATGTCTCAGTTATGTTAGAACATATTTTTAAGGCTATGGGCTTAATCCTATCCAAGATAAAGTGAGACAAATAGACAAAGGAAATGGGATGGGTCATTTAAATAAAGCTGATTTGGGATTCCGAATTCCTTCTTTTTTTTTTTTCTCCTCCTCTCTTGCCCCCTCAAAATTCCATTCCCTGCCGAAACCGGTTTGGCTCAGTGGACAGAGCATCAGCCTTTGGACTGGAGGGTCCCAGGTTGAATTCTGGTCAAGGGCATGTACAATACCTTGGTTGCAGGCACATCCCCGGTGGGGGGTGTGCAAGAGGCAGCTGGTTGATGTTTCTCTCTAGTCGATGTTTCTAACTCTCTATCCCTCTCTCTTCCTCTCTGTAAAAAATCAATAATATATATATATATATATATATATATATATATATATATATATATATATATATATTTGCCCCCCTCCCTCCCATACATACCCTCTCTCCCCAGAGTTTTATGTCCATTGGTTGTACTTATATGCATGTATACAAGTCCTTCGGTTGATCTATTATCTCCCCCAGCTCTCCCTCCCCTCCCCACTGTAATTTGACAGTCTGCTTGTTGCTTTACTGTCTCTATCAATAAAATATATTTAATTTAAAAAAAGTTCCATCCCCAGAGATTAAATTGCAAGTTTCAGGGCCCCAGCTTTGGGGAGGCCTTCCCAGCCCCGGCTGCGGTGTGCACAGGGAAAAGAACCAGAAGAAGAAGGCTATTCTAACATTCCTTTGGGACACCCCCCTACAACGCTAAGTTCTAAGTACCTGGGACCCAAGCCCTCCTGAAAGGACAAAATGAAACTGTGTCCCTGTGCCCATCAGGGGGCAGCAGCCACCCACAGTGAGAAGGAGTTTTGTGTGCTAGTGGAGGATAGCGATGCAACTGATGCTTTTTGCATTTCTTACATTTCAGACCTGTCTCCCCATCTCAGTCTCCCAGCCTCGGCCTTAGCCCCCCGCCCCTCCTATCCATTCACATCAGGGACACCACATGGTTCTTTGATCGGGAATATTTGCCCATCCATCTCCCCAGGACACATGCAGGGTTCTTTATTAAATAGCAGGAGTCGTAATACCCTGCACCACACCAGCACCGCCGCTTCCAGGGGAAATAAACCGCTGGCCTCTGTCATCCATCACCGTGCACGAGCCACGAAAGGAAGTGCAGAGGCTCTCAGCCAGCCTCTCCCTAAGCCTCCTGCCTCTGGCTGCACTCCCACTTGAAAGACAAACCTTCCATATCACTGCATACTTCTTGTTCTTAGCGCTTTTCACAACTCTTATTAGTTACTTATTCTATTGCAATTATTTATAAGAGCAACTTCTTTTTTTAATCCTCACCTGAGGATATTTTTTCCATTGATTTTTTTAGAGAGCAGGAGAGAGGGAGATGGAAGGGAAAAAAAGAGCAAGAAAGATAGATCAACATAAGAGAGACAGCCGAAACCGGTTTGGCTCAGTGGATAGAGCATAGGCCTGTGGACTGAAAGGTCCCAGGTTCGATTCCAGTCAAGGGCATGTACCTTGGTTGCGGGCACATCCCCAGTAGGGTGTGTGCAAGAGGCAGCTGATCGATGATTCTCTTTCATCGATGTTTCTAACTCTCTATCCCTCTCTCTTCCTCTCTGTAAAATAAATCAATAAAAAATTATATATATATATATATATATATATATATATATATATATATTTTAAACATGAGAGAGACACATTGATTGCTTGCCTCACACAGCGTGTTACTGGGCAAGGATCGAAACTGCAACAAATGGAACCCACAACCCTTCCCATTCCATGGGCCAACATTCTGACCACTGCGAAAACTGGCAAGGACTATAAGAGTAACTTTTTTTTTTTAATGTTAACAGACACTCAATGGTCATTGGTGTTTGTTTGTTTTTATTTCATAGAAGAAGAGAGAGAGGGAGAGAGAGATGGAAACATCCATGATGAGAGAGTCATTGATAGGCTGCCTCCTGTACATCCCACACTGGGGATCGAGCCTGCAGTCCAGGCATGTGCCCTCAACCGGAATCGAACCTGGAGCCCTTCGGACCACAGGCTGACACTCTATCCACTGAGCCAAGCCAGAGTCTAAGAGTAACTTTTTAATGTTTGCCTTCACAAAAAAACCTTCAGCTTTTTAAGTTCAAGACTAGCATCACAGTGTTCACCTCTCTGGCCCCAGCACCTAGCACCTTGTAAGCATTCAATAAAATGTTTAAAAGAAATTGGATGAAAGAAGGTAAGTTTGTCTCTCGGTCTCCTATAGTATTAAGAATTGAAACAGAAGCGTATATGCATTAGGATTGCCTGGGCTCCTCTGGAAAACCTGCTTTGGGTATGGGCTGAGTTATGAGGCAAAAGGGAAGGGTTGTCTCACTAAAATCTCACCCTCTTTGTAATGTCAAAGGTAATTTTTTTGGGAAAAGTATTGGAGCTGTAGTCCCTTGCCCTGTCCCACCCCCATTTCATCAGCCCCATTCAGAGCTTTCAGACAGAAAAGCTGTGTGTGTATGTGTGTGTGTGTGTGTGTGTGTGTGTGTGTGTGTGTGAAAGAGAGAGAGAGAGAGAGAGAGAGAGAGAGAGAGAGAGAGAGAGAGAGAGAGAGAGAGAACTGACTGGGATATGAGACATGGACTGCTTTGTCAGGAGATGTTCAGTTAAGATGTTCAGTTAAGATGCATGAACTGAAGAATCCTTGATGGGAAGAGTGAGTGAGCAGCTGGCATGGCAAGAGGATTGGGGTGAGAAAGAGATGGCAGAGAGAAGTTGCATCTGGGCAGAGGCAAAAAGCAAGCGCTCCTTCCATGTCACAAAGCAGCTCTGATGCTGGGGTGCTACAGCCACCAGGACACCAGTGAGAAATGCCTGCAATTAGGAGGCTGACAGTTCTCTGGGCCTCAGCCCAGAGTGACAATGCAGCAAGAATTTCTGAGCCCAACTGAGCCAGGTGATAGAGGAGACACAGTCCGAACCAATCCAGCCCTATCGCTCAACCATGCCTGCCCACCCCCTCAATTTCTTCCCCAATGTGACCCCTCACTCCTCCCACAAACATCATTGACTCCCTCTTGCTGCTGAGGTCCCATGCCCTGTGCAGGAGAACAGTGTGCTAATTCTTCCACAAGGGCAGTGGTTGGCAAACTGCAGCACTGTTGACTAATGAGTTTGCTGGCCACTGGGATAGGGGCTTAATCACAAGAAACAACAACAGCCTGTAATTATTGGAATCGAGAGTGTAGGTCAGTGGTTGGCAAACTCATTAGTCAACAGAGTGGCAAACCGTGGCTCAAGAGCTGAAATTTGCAGACCACTGCCCAAGGGCACTGGCCCTGATCTCCTGCTTCCCTTCCCTCCTCACATCCCCACCAGCTCATGGACAGAGTTGGAAGAAAAAAAACCACTCCTGGTTCTGTTTTTGCACTTCCAGGCTAGGATGTGGGCCTCTGTAATGTGTAGGACATCTGCCAAAACACTGCCAGATTTTCGTTTTCAAGCCTAATTTATGACTCTGTTTTAGTGCCACTGAACTTCCTGCATCTTAGTCAAATGATAAACGCACGCCACAGAGCTCAGAGCCAAGTGCTCTGGACAAGGGACGGGTGACAGGGTGCTGGTGGTTTGGATGTATCCCCAGGTCTCTGCAATGTGAGTTCTGCTTTGGTGGGTAGGATATGGGAGGGAGGGGTTAGGAAGACAGGCTTTCTCCAGGAAGGATCTGCACCTCCCGGAGGCAATTGCTCTACAGGGGAAGAGGGCTGAGAGTCCAGCCTTTAAGGGGCCTTGTTGGTAGGTGGAACCTGTGGGAATTCCTCTGGGAAGGTGGCAGGAAGATTGCTGGGCTCCCAGCTCAAGGTGACCAAGCCCTTGATGTGTGTATCAACATTTCCACAAAGAATTTTACCAAGAATTAGTCCCTGTCAAAACCGGTTTGGATCAGTGGATAGAGCATCGGCCTGCGGACTCAAGGTTCCCGGGTTCAATTCCGGTCAAGGGCATGTACTTTGGTTGTGGGCACATCCCCAGTGGGGGGGCGGGGAGTGCAGGAGGCAGCTGATTGATGTTTCTCTCTCATCGATGTTTCTAACTCTCTGTCCCTCTCTCTTTCTCTCTGTAAAAAAAATCAATAAAATATATATTTTAAAGTTTTAATAATAAAAAAAAAGAACTAGTCCCGAGTCCCCTGAACACCAGGACCTGAGCCCAGCTCCCAGAAATGCCGAGAGTCCACCAAAGACTGTAGTTTCTGCCTCACCTCTAAGGGCCACGTTCCATCTCGGGGGGGGGGGGGGGGGTGTGAGGAAAGCCCAGAGAGTCAAATGGTCTTCAAGGGGCTGCCCCCAGGACCCTCACTCATCCCAGACAGGACAAAACTCCTTGCAGTTGGGAGTAAAGGTCCCTGGGATCTGGGATGGACCCACCCCACCTAAATGCAGCTTCTCTTCCAGTTCTGGCAGAACCACTAACGCTGTCGTCTCATGTAAGCTTTTCCAAGAAGGTCATACCATTCTCCTCTGAAAATATTTTATTGATAAATTAACTCTGATAGCGCTCATCCCCCACACAACAGCTGTAGAGTCTCCTAGGTGGGCCATGGACCCTTCCTTCTCCAGGGGAGGGTCCTGTGGGAACGGGGAGTCTCTCCCGCAGGGATGGGACTCCTGGGCATGGCAGAGGTGGGCACGGGGGCTGAGGACCATCCCGAGGTCTTCTGAGGATAGCCCCCCTCACCCAGTACCAGAGCGGGCAGTGGCGATCAGGAGTGGAGCACCTTGGAGCTTTATTGCTGGTGAATGCCAAGGCAAGTGGGACCCCTGCCAGCCTAGAATGGCGAGGGCATCGACGCCCAGGGCTCCAGAGGAGGCGGCACTAATTCCCAATCCACAGAGCCTGGCTGCTGACCCACCCACCCAGAAGCCCCTGGATGGGGGAGGAAGCAGGGCGAGGTATGTGAGTCAGGCCGGATGGGGGGAGGGTGACAGTGTGCAGGTCAGGGGCAGGGCTGACGCCAGGAGGGGGCGTATGGCCTGGTCCCGAGGGGGCTTCCTCTTCACAGGTCTATGGTGTCGCTGCCCATGCTCAACTCGTCGATCTGCCGGCAGGCGTCCAGGAATTGCTCCTGCAGCAAGGCCTCTTGGGCCTGCAGCTCACAGGCAGGCTCTGGGGAGTCGCGGGAGGACGGGGACAGGGCCTGGTAGGATCCTGAGGCTGGGAGGCGTGGGCTGCTTGCAGAGGGCCGCGGGGGGCTGAGGACGCAGACCAGCGGGCAGCGCGGGGCCCGGTCCCGGTCTGGGCTGGAGCACAGCAGCATGGACGAACTGTCCCGGGAAAGTCCACACAGCGAGCCTGACGACGCGCTACTGCCCGCGGGCCAGGCCCCGGGGGAGGAAAGGCCTGGGGGCGCGGAGATGACCGGGGCCTCCTCGGACCTCCCACTGGGCCCAGCCCCGGGCGAGGAGGTGCCGTAGAGGCCGAGCCCGGGCAGGGCTTCCCCGAAGGCAGGGCCCTGGAAGAGCCCGGGCGCCAGCAGCGCCTCGCTGCAGAGGGCCTCCTCGATGCTGCGCCGCAGGTTGATGGGGGATGGCGGGGCGAAGTCCACAGTGCAGTCGCTGCATGGGGAGGAAGCTGGGGAGGGGGGCGCCGGGTGGGCCGCTGACCCCCCGCAGCCCCGACAGGAGCCTCCCTGGAACAGGAGGTCGGGGCCCGGCCCCGCCAGGGCGCACAGCTGCAGCAGCTCCGCGTCGCCGCGCGCGATGGCGCCGCCCAGAGGCTCCTTGTCCGGCGCCCCGGGCACCCAGCGCGCGGGCAGCAGCGGCGCCGCGTGGCCCGGGGACAGGCGGAGGAGCTTGGCCCAGCAGCGCGGCGGCGGCGCGCGGGGGCTGCAGAGCGCCGGGTAGAGGCCCAGCAGCGCCAGCGGCAGCGCGATGCCCACCTCGCCCAGGCGCAGGCCCAGCTGGAAGGCCCACCAGGGCCAGGGCCCCGCCAGGCCGGGCTGGCCGCCGAGGCCCAGGGCGTGCAGCACCTCGTAGCCCTGCAGCGCCCCGCTCAGCAGCCCGAAGGCGCCGGCCACCGGGGCCGTGCGCGCCGCGCGCCTCCAGGAGTCCCGCGGGGCGAAGGGGCTGCGCGCCGCCGGCGGGAGCGGCGTGGCGCCCTGCAGCCCGGACCCTCCGAGGGGCGCCCCGGCCCGCCGCCTCCGGCCCCGCCAGCAGGAGAGCGCCAGTAGCAGGGCGGACAGCAGGGCGGCGAGGAAGGCGTGCAGGCCGCGGGAGGCGAGCCGCAGGGGCCGCAGCGGGCGGTGGGCGGCGCTGCCCAGCGCGGCGGCGGCCGCCAGCGCCAGGCCCAGCAGCGGCAGCGCGGCCAGGCCGGCGGGGCAGCGCGGCGGGCGCGGCCGGGCCAGCAGCAGGCAGGCCAGGCCCAGGCCGGCGGCCAGGCACGGCGGCGGCAGGTCCTGCAGCAGCAGCCAGGCCAGCGCGGGCAGCCGGTCGCGATGCCCGTAGGCGTCGTAGAAGAGCGGGAACGCCCGCGTGGCCCCGGCCGAGAGCAGGAGCACGTCCAGCAGCGCCAGGCAGGGGGCGCCGGGCGGGCAGCGCCAGGGCAAGAGGGCCAGGGCCAGCAGCGCCAGCGCGGCCACCAGGCCGAAGAGGGCGCCTACCCCGTACACGTGGGCCTCCCAGGCCAACCCCCAGCGAGCCCGGGCCTCCGCCCAGTCGGCCTCCAGGGTCAGGAAGAAGAGGGACAGCGGGGCCGCAGGAGGCTGCCCCTCGCCTTCGGGCAGTTCAACGTGGCAGGACCCTGGCCCACACCCCGCCGGCTGCACAGAAGGGTTTCCGAGGCTGGCAGGAGAGGGATCCTCTGGACCAAAGGTGGGGAGGGTGGCGTCTGTGGGCAAAGAAAATTTGTCTGAAGCAGTTGTGCAGCCTCCCTCGTCCTGCCACTATGTTCTCCCCCAGCCAGGAGCCTGCATGCCGGTCAGAGTCCTCATAGCCTCCAGCACACCCGTCTTCAATGTGAGACTGGACCTCACACCTTCCCCTCCCCCAGAAGTTTCAGCTCTCACAGCCTTCCCAGATACCTCCCAACCCACCCCCAGCTCCCTGCTTTGTGCACTTGCCTTCCTCACTTTGTAACCCTATTGCAAAGGATTTTTCTTAAGAAGTCCCAGAATTTGCCCAAACCGGTTTGGCTCAATGGCTAGAGCATAGGCCTGCGGACTGAAAGGTCCTGGTTAGATTCCAGTCAAGGGCATGTACCTTGGTTGCGGGCACATCCCCAGTAGAGGGGGTGTGCAAGAGGCAGCTGATCGATGATTCTCTCTCATTGATGTTTCTAATTCTCTATCCCTCTCTCTTCCTCTCTGTAAAAAATCAATAAAATATATTTTTAAAAAGAAAAAGAAGAAGAAGAAGTCCCAGAATTTGCCGAAACTGGTTTTGCTCAGTGAATGGAGCGCCAGCCTGAGGACTGGGGGGTCCCGGGTTCGGTTCCGGTTAAGGGCATGTGCCTGGGTTGTGGGCACATCCTTAGTAGGAGGTGTGCAAGAGGCAGATGATCGATGATTCTCTCTCATCGATGTTTCTAACTATCCCTCTCCTTTCCTCTCTGTAAAGAATCAATAAAATATACATATTTTTAAAAAGTCCCAGAATTTTACAACTGGGAGGGACTGTGGAAGCCCCTTCTAGTTCAATTCTCCCACCGAAAGGAAGCTTCCTAAGGACAAAAAGTTTTGCTTGCTCTGCTCACATCTGAATCCCTGAGCTTAACGTGGTGCCTGGCACAGAGTTAGCATTGAATAAATGATATCCCGGACAATACAGGCTATACACTGAATAAACGAATCCTCTTACTTGCCCGATGCCACCAGAATCCACATCTGAGCCCCAGCGGAGCCCCTCTCCAGAATCCCAGAGCCTCTTCCTAGTACCAGTTGCTTGTTCTGCACCCCTGACTCCCAGCTCCCACCCTGGAGCTAGGAGAGACTCCCCTGCCCCTTTCAACTGCTTCCCCGTCCCTTCAGGAAAACCTCTACACAGACAGACACACAGACAGACACGCAGGCTCATTCTCGTGCATGGGGGCGCTTATACATATATGCAGCAGGACATTCCTGTCCCCGCCCAGCGCCCTGAGGAGAATACCTGCCCACTCCACTTGCCTTCCTGCTTGTTACCCCCCACCCTCAGCCTTCCCTTGTGATCCCCATCCTGACTCAGTCACAAAGACATTGGTCTAAGGCTCTTAATATAGATGCCTCTTTAGTTCTAGCTCCATTTTCTAGAAGGTGGCATTGAGAATAGACTCCCCCTGAGGCTACCCTTGAACTCCTAGGAAGAAACCACTGGGGAGATGATAGTGGGATAAAAGGCTGAGTGGGTGAGCCCCTCAGGGATTGCTCTGGGGTTCGATAACTCAGGCTTCCAACCTCATCTTGTGCTCCAGCACCTTCCCCTCATCCCGAGAGAAAGGGAAGTCGAATAAGAGGTGAGGAGTAAGATGCCTAATTCTACTCGATGAGTTAGGAAGAGTTAGGTCCAAGGATTCTCCCCATGGCTGGGCAGCAAGGGAGGGTGCTGGAAGCTGGACCTCTCCCTACTCCACCTACCGGACTCAGCAAAGCTGCAGCTGCTGGCAAGGGTGGAGGGAGAAAGAGGGTGGAGAAGGGTGGAGACAGCCTGATGCTGATGGGGAGGTGCACAGGAGGCTGCTGTAAAAGGAGGGGCGAGGGTCTCCTGACAAACAGATTCTTGCCCCAACTGCTGGGCCATGCCCAGCCATTCCCAGCCATGCTCAGCAGCCATGCCTCAGCTGGAGCAGACAGGAAGAACCCGGAACACCCCGCCCCAGGCTGTGCCAGCTCCTGCTGGGGACTTGCAAAACAGAGCAGCCCTGAGAACAAGGAAAAGGAGCAAAGAGGCAGAAATTGGCTTTGGAAAGAGAAGAGGGGAAGATAGAATCAGACAACTGCAGAGGGCGGAGAGGGAGCAGCCAAAAAATTAAATATCCACAGCTCACTGCCTACTGCCAATGGCTTCAAGTGCCTGGTCCCTGTTCCATCGCATTCATATCTGAATCGGAGAAGAGTACCCACTGCAGAGGCTGCTGCGAGGGTAAAACTAACAGATGATGTGTGCAAAGCTGTTTGGAGTGTCTGAGCATAATAAGCATTCCATATGTGACTGTTGTTGGTGTCATCGTTATTGGTTAATGTCCGTCACCAATCATCAGTTTGTGATTGTGTTAGTGAGACCGTTTCTGGCCTCCAACTAGTTCTCAATTTAACTAACAAGAGCCTGTTGTCCCTCAGCACATCCTAAACTTTCTTAGGAAATCAACAATTATTCAAATGAGTGAACATCAAGACATTCTCACTTCATAAACCCTGTTTGAATGGACGGACCATCCCTGAATACCTAATGAAGACATAGCTGGAAAGAACATCTTGCTGATGACCACATGCTCCCTCCCTCACCCTCATTCCTGGTCCCCTCCATGCCCTTGCCCAACCCACATCTTCTGCCAAGTGGATGAGTGTGCCTGGTCTTCCCTGGGCCATGATGCGCTCTGCAGCCAGGCAGGGAGACCGCGCCCAGGAGCCCCACCAGCCTGCCGCCCGCAGGCCTCCTCCTCGATCACTGTACAGACAAGTACGGCTCTCAGAGGTCTGCTCCATTCTCACCCGACAGCTCCAGGAAACCCCATCACTCACCTCTGTCCCAAAGCACTCTGGCAACTAGAGCAAGTTTCAACTAAGAAGCCAGAAAAGGAATGAAAACCAGAAAATAGGCAAAGCACAGGCACAGCTCAGGTGTCAAAGGAGGGAGTTCTAAGTAGATGCACTGCTCCTGGGGGCACGGCCTGCCCGGTGTACTCAGCACTGGGCCACGTGGGTGGGGGCAGGTGGAGAAGACCCAGCTTCTGCCTAAGCAGGGGTCCTCAAACTTTTTAAAGTGGGGGCCAGATCACGGTCCCTCAGAGAGCTGGAGGGCCGGACTATATGAACTACTAATTCCTACTGTAACACCTCGGCTGCGCTCACTGCCCAAAAAACCTGGCGGGCCGGATCAGACTCCTCTGCGGGCCGCATGTGGCCCGCGGGCCATAGTTTGAAGACCCCTGGCCTAAAGGGTCTACTTGGCCTCACCTTCCCCAGAGGAACCCTCAGTTTCCCTCAGAAGAGAGAGACGTCCTCTCCTGAGCAGAGCTCCCTTACAAGATGGTCCCACCCTGGCCCTGCGGCCCCTCTTGACCTCAGGGTCGAGGGAGGAGATGGGATGTCAATGTGAGTAATTGGGGAGTTTGGGCTAGCTGGGGAGGAGCCCAGAGCGGAGACGCTGGATTTATGGAGAAGTCAGGCCTGATTATCCACCAGCTGCCCAGATCAAAGGGCAGACTCCACTCTGGATGCCGGGATCGGCAGCCTGTTCAATGTCCTGGCCCCATCCCTCTCCCCACCCCCCACCTCCAGGGTTATGGAGGATTGACACTTTTTGTGAGAGTGACATTTGAAATATTTAACAACTGGAAATGGCACAGGTGCCAGCTAGGGTGGTCAGGGAGTGGAGGGGAGTGGAGGGAGCTAAGGTCAGTGGGTGCTTATCAAGTGAAACAAGTCTCTCACAACCTAAGCAACTGTTTCTGTATGCACTGGCTGAATACAAGCTCTGTCCTAGGGGAAGAGACCTGATGCAAGGCAACAGAAGCCCTGGGGTCAAAGGTTAACTGCACCCACGTTAGAGAGGTCCTAGAGGAGACAGAGAGCTCCCTTGGTGCCCTGACTGACACCACTCCCCACACACACCGCTGGTCCAAGCAAAGCTCCTGGGCCTTCCCTCTGAGAGGACTGTAGCTGGCTTGGGTTTGTCCGAGAGGAATACTCAGGAAGAGGCTGGGTTCCCGCAGCCATCAGTGAAGAGGGGGAAGGAGGGTGGGGCTGGCCGGCTGGGCTGCCTCTGACACTGTCCAGATGCATTAAACCTGCCTGGCAGCGCGGCTGTCACCAATGCTGGGAGACTGCCAAGCTGCATCCTTCCTCCCGAGGCCACAGAGCCTGCCCCCAACCTCGGAGCAGATCCTGGGCAGCACCTGGAGCACAGGGAGCATGCAGGAGGGAGCCACAGTTGGGAGTGTTGAGTCTGGAGCTGCAAGAAGCTGGGCCACCAGTGGTTTCTAGAAGCTGAGCTGGTTCCTAGTGTGGGGTGACTGAGAGGATTCACAGCGACAGTAAACCTTCTGCAGAGCAAAGCTGGGCCTGGAGGTCCCTCTCCATGGCTCCCTTGGCTTCACCTACTAGAACCTCTCCCCAGCCAGTGTGCCTTCTGTCCTGTGGGTTATGTGCTATCCCAGTGGTGGGCAAACTGCGGCTCTCGAGCCACATGCGGTTCTTTGGCCCCTTGAGTTTTTAGCAAAGGCCAGCTTAGGAGTACCCTAATTAAGTTAATAACAATGTACCTACCTATATAGTTTAAGTTTAAAAAATTTGGCTCTCAAAAGAAATTTCAATCGTTGTACAGTTGACATTTAGCTCTGTTGACTGATGAGTTTGCCCACCACTGTGCTATCCTATCACATCTTTTTTTAAAATATATATTTTATTGATTTTTTACAGAGGAAGAGGAGGGATAAAGAGTTAGAAACATCGATGAGAAAGAAACATTGATCAGCTGCCTCCTGCACACCCCCTATTGAGGATGTGCTCGCAACCAAGGCACATGCCCTTGACCGGAATCGAACCTGGGACCTTTCAGTCCGCAGGCCAATGCTCTATCCACTGAGCCAAACCAGTTTCGGCTACCCTATCACATATTGGGGCCAGGGTTTGCAGTGTCTCAGAGGAGGGTCTGGACATGTGTTGCGATGCAGTAGGGGAGAAAAGCAAGGTTAACAGCAACTATTGAATGAGCTTCTACTTTGTGCCCAGCCTCATGCCAGGAGCTTACATTCCCTGGAAGCTCACAATAACAGAATAAGTGCTATTATTAAGCCCTAGATATCTGAAGAAAATTTAGGCTCAGGGACACCAAATAACTTGCCCTAACGTCACCCAGCCAGTTAGTAACTCGGATTCAAAGCCAAGTCTCAAGATTCCGGGGCTTCCGGTCTTTCCTCTGCACCAGCAGCTCGTCTGGATGCTTTCCTGAACGAGGGCGGCATCTGTCTGCTCACGATCTTCCCAGTGAGGAGCCCAGCCCTGCCCGTATCTGACAGCCTGTCATGTCAGATCTGGCAGCAAAGGGGAGAGCCCCAAGTCTGGGTTTGGGACAGGGATCGGGCCAGACAGACAGGAGTGGCGGGTGAGGTTGGCACAGAGGCTGTGGAATTCATGAGGGAGTTCCGGTGTCTGTTTGCCCCTGATACATGTGTCCACATCCTGCTCTGCCCGGGATTGCAAAACTCTCCAAGGACCATTACTTAACTCTGTGTGGGACTGGCCCCAGCAACCCTGTTCTCAAGCCATGAACATGTATCTCCATGGTGATGATGAAGAGAACGGCGATTATGATTAAATGACAATGAAACCAAAGGGTCCCGGGACACCCATTAGTGGCTAACCTGTAGTAAGTGCTCAATGAATAACTGTCAAGCTCACATGAATGGGGCGCTTACCTAGCAATGTGGTTGCAACGGAGGCGGCGCTCAGAGAAGCAGTTGGGTCTAGTGGGCCTGGTGGGCCTGGGCTTGCAAGCTTGCTATCCAGGGAGGACGGGGGTGGGAACAGCGTGGTGCCAAAGGACCCTGCAGAGGGAGGACGCCGGGTTTGAGTGCCATCTTACAGCCTTGGCTTCTGGGCTTTTGGTGGAGAAGCCAGTCTTTCCCCAGAACTTGCCCTCAGAGAGCCACCGTCCCAGGAATGAGAGCCACGTGTCTGCCACGAGCTAAGTTCCATGGACCAAACCAAACTTAACAGGGCAAGGAGAGGATGTCCCCCTGGGAGCAGGGGCCCACGTCCCAGGGCCAGGAAGAAGCAATGCAGACCTCCCCTGGAGCCAAGGAAGCAAGGGCGTGCTGCATAGGCCCCGGGTCCGGTGCCTGCCGCGCAGAGGAAGTCTGTAAATGCTTGTGGCCATGAAGCCAGCACTCACCCGGCAAAGCAGAGGCTCTGGAGGCAGCGCTCGGGGACGCCGCCGGGCCCGGCGGGCTCCCGCCTGAGAAGTTCCGGAGAGGGGACAGAGTGGTGCCGAAGAACCCTGCAAAGGGAGCCCAGCTGAGGCTTCCTCCTCCCTGCCAGGCAGCCCAGCAGGGGCTATCCCCAGGGCGGGGTGGGTACTCACCGAACGGTCCCAGGCGCCCAGCAATCTCTGCCAGGCTGGCCCGCAGACTGGGCAGCAGGGGCAGGGTCCGATGCCCGAGCGTGGGGGCTGCCCCTGCTCTCAGGGACATGTCAAACTGCACTTCCAGCTCCGTCTGCTGGGGCCTGGGGGCGCTGGACGGAGGTGCTGTGGCCATCAGGGCAGTGTCCCAGGTCATAGTGCCCGCCCTGGGCTGGTAGGGGGCAGTAGGCCGGGTGGTGGGCCCAGAGAGGGGGGAAGTGGATTCCAGAGGCAGGGAGGAGGCCCAGGGGGTGGCGCTGCCTTCAGCGGAACCCCACTCTGGGGAGTAGTTCCCCAGGGAGCCCACCAGCAGATCCCAAAGCGGGTCAGTCCTCAGTCCACTGGCCGCCTCCTCCTCCAGCTCCTGGCTCTGCCCGGGGGACAGCGGGTGGGTCTCCGTGACGGGCGCCCCCCAGGCCGAAGCAGGTCCCCGAAGGTGGAATTTGAAGTTCAGTCCCAGATTGAGGGACAGCATAGAGGCCTCGCTCTGAGGTGGTGGGGTCAGCGTGGTGAGAGGGGCGCCCGGGATGGAGGAAGCAGGCTGGGGGCCCACGGGGACAGCGAGGAGGACCCAGCAGAACAGCCCCAGCCCCAGACAGCCATGGCCCGCCATGGCCCCACGGGGTCTCAGGCAGCCTCCGTGGGTAAGGGACTCAGCTCTTCAGCACCTTCGGAGCGCGGAGGTCCTGGAGGAAGGAGAGGCACCGTGAGCCCTGGCTGCCTGCGGGAAATGGCCCCAGAGAGAGGCTTCTGATCACAGAGAAGCAGGGGGTGGGGAGGAGGATGCAAAGGGCTCTTCCCAGGAGAGCTGCCAGCTCCTTCCTCCTTTCAGCGCCCAGCACAAATCTCTCCCCTTCAGTTTCCCTAAGGCCCCTCTCCCCAGACCCCTGCCTCCCGCACCTGCTCAGTGCGGGGTGAGACCACAACCAGCTGCTCTCATCCTTGACTGATAGTAGATGGGATGGACCTGACTCCCAGACGCAGATCCCTTCCCGCCCTCTCTTCTGTCCTCCCTTCCAACCTCAGATATTGATGGAGGCTCCTGTGCGCCCAGCGCCCTTCTGTGAGCAAGCGAGCCCTCACAGACGAGTCTCAACCCAGGCCCACCCCCACAACGTCTTCGGTTGGCCCTCTACTCACCCAGACCCAGGAGTACAGGGCCTGGGAGGGGCAAGCCCGGGCTCGGGGATCTGGCGCCGATGGAGAAGGCAGCCGAGTGAGCTCCCTGGTCCGCCAGAAGCTCTGTCCCTTCAGCCTTTCCCCTCTTTCCTGGGGCTTGGCCTGCTCCCTTCCCTTTAACCCTAGTATTTGGGGGAGGGGCAGCTTGGCCGTCTCTGGTTTCCTGGGGAAGATGGCCAGGCAGGCAAGGCGCTGCTGCAGGAGCTTACACCCCCTCCCCAGGAACCCTTCCCTGCACACACCTCCGATGGGGAAGGGGAGGGTGAGCCGGGGACACATGTGCACCCAGCACCCGTACTTCACACACAGCCACACCTAGCACCCATGACACACTCCCCCACTCACCCTTCACACAGCCTTGCACACAAGTGTGCACACACACACACACACACACACACACACACACATTCCGTCCTGCCGAGTGCCCTCCCTCCTGCATGGGTTTCTATGAGCTCCCAGCCCCCCACCCCCATCCCACCCCTACACACACCCCTGCCTCACAGACACACACAGAAGACAGTCACACGGAGAGGCACACACCCCTGCACACATCGCACACTCCTTACAGACACACATCACACAGCATCCCCGCCACACACGCTGCAGGCGCGCGCACACACACACACACGCTGCAGACACGCGCACACACACACACACGCACACATTCCCCCCCCCCCCCCCCCCGCCCCGCACGCACTGGCCCACCTGCCCCCTCGGAGGCGTTTCCGCTGCCAGGTCCCGGAGGCGGGAGGTGGCGGCCCTGGCGCCCCGCTGGCAGCGCTCCGCGGAGTCGCGCCGGTCCTCTCGGTCGTGCCCGGTGCCCGCCACCTCGGCTTGGCCAGCGCGCTGCCCGGGGCTGGCCGGCCCGGCGGCGGCCACAGCGCTGTCCCCTGCCCGGCCGCTCCGGCTCCCGCTTCCTCCGGCACCGCCTCTCGGCTGAGCGCCCGCGCCCCGCTCCGCCGCACCGCGGTCGGCCCGCCTCCCACCCCCTTCCCTGGCTCTGGCCCCCTCCCCTCCTCCTCCTCCTCCTCCCACCCTCCTGCGGCCGAGGTCCGCCCCCCACCCACCCGGGCCAGCGGGCAGGCGCGCACGTCTGTGCCCGCTTCCCCACGCGCTCCTTCACCCGCAGCTGCCCATCCTCCGCGGCGGGCGCGGGCGCCTCGGTCTCAGCCCGGCGCGGGCAGCCACGCACCCCCGGGGCGGCCCATCACACGCAGCCACCCGCACCCACGCCTTCCCGGGAACACACCCGGGCCTGAGCACCGCGCGCACGCGCGCACTCGTGTGTACACACACACACACACACACACACACACACACACACACACACACCCCTGGCTCCAGAATGTCACCCCATGGAAGAAGACCCACTACAGTTATGGAGCTGTGAATGTAATAGGCACTTACCTCTACACCTTTTGTCTCATGAGTCCTCAACACAAGACTCTGTGTGTTCCCATTTCACAGATTAGGTAAATGAAGGCTCAGAAAATTAACAAATGTGCCCCAAATCTCTCAATTTGCAGAGACTTGAACCCAGTCCCTGGGCTGCCCTCTCCACCTCCTGGGGGCTTTCAACAGCTGTACTGCTCCTCGGAGCGCCTCTCCTAGGCACAGGTGGACTGGCGAGTGTCAATGCATGTGGGCAATATTTCTGTTTTTGTTAAAACTGATCTCTCGAAGTACTTAGAATTTCAGAAATGTCTGCCAGAGAGAATAGTGAGCTAAGCTTACAACATGTTTCCAATCAGGAGCGGGAGGAAAACAGTGAAGCCAAAGAAAGTGTGCTGCCTCGGGAACATGAGGGCCCAGGAGGGCTGCCATGGGATGAAGATGAGTAGAGAGCAGGGTGGTCACTGTGAGTGCTTCATGGTCCTTGCTACGCTGTCACAAGTGGGATTGACTCATCTATGTTGTTTTGAGTCTCTAAATCCCTTCAGGTGTTCCTCCAAAAATGCTAGTATTTGAAAGTATAAGCGGGGAGGATATAAAACACGGGAGGCTCCCTGCACCACATAAAGCTGTCCCTCAAACCCAGACATCCTACTGTGTGCCAGGAATCCCCTCACTTATTCCTCATCACAAGCCACACACACACACAAATGATTGTCACCGTGTCACACCTCTGTATGTGATCCTGACCCCTCCCTAGCTGCTCTTCACGGCTCTCCAGGGGGTGCTTACAGAGTTACCTAGGACATGTATAGAGCGCTGGGCATAGCGCGTTGCCCATGGTAGTGCTCAGTGAATATTAATACCTGAAGAACAAACAAATGAATGATTCTGGGGACCAAACCAGCACTGGGTTTCATTTTTGAAAGGCATCCAACTTGACTATGGATGCAAAATACAGAATATGTATTATAGAATCATACACTTGAAATCTATAAAATTTTATTAGCCAATATCACCCTGATACATTTATTTATTTATTATTATTTTTAATTTATTTATTATTTTTTTAAATAAGTTTTTATTGTTCATATTATTACAAATGTTCCTTCCCCCCCCCCCCATCATTGCTCTCCTCCACTAGGTTCCCACCCCACCTTCTGCCCTTTCCCCACTCCCCATTGTCCTCATCCATAGGTGCACAGTTTATGTTCAGTCTCTTCCCACATCCCCCTCTCCCCTTTTCTGAAAGAACCCCCTTCAGCACTTCATATAATTCTAGTTTGGTGTTGATGAACTCCTTTAGCTTTTTTTTTTATTAGTGAAGCTCTTTATCTGACCTTCGATTCTGAGTGATAGCTTTGCTGGATAGATTATCTTTGGCTGTAGGTTCTTACTATTCATCACCTTGAATATTTCTTGCCATTCCCATCTGGCCTGCATGGTTTCTGTTGAGAAGTCAGCTGACAATCGTATAGGTGCTCCTTTATAGGTAACTACCTTCTTTGCTCTTGCTTCTTTTAATATTCTCTCTGTCTTTTGCTCTAAGAATTTTAATTATGATGTGTCTTGGTGTAGTCCTCTTTGGATTCCTTTTGTTTGGAGTTCTGTGCGCTTCCTGGACTTGTAAGTCTAATTCTTTCACCAGGTGGGGGAAGTTTCCTGTCACTATTTCTTTCAGTATGTTTTCGATATCTTGCTCTCTCTCATTTTCTGGGACCCCCATAATTCTGATGTTGGTTCGCTTGAAGTTGTCCCAGAGGTTTCTTACATTATCTTCAATTTTCTGGATTCTCTTGCCTTCTAGCTTCTGTGGAGGAGTGTCTTCTGGTTCTTTATGTTTCAAATCTTTGACTTGATTCTTGCGATCTTCCATTCTGTTTTTAGGACTCTGTATAATATTATTTATTTCAGACAATGTATTCTTTATTTCTTGTTGATCCCTTATCATTTATTGATAACTCCTTATTAATTCTAGTTGATTTCTTTTCATATCCTCATAGGTCTTATCCATCTTTTCTAGGAAATTCTTGAAAAACCTTATAAGCGTAGATTTGAACTCTATATCCAGTCGCTTTTTGTCCTCCATTTCTTTCGTTTGTGATCTATTGATATTTCGTTGTCGCATTTCGCAGTTACAGATGGGATGGGATTTCAGGGTGGAGCCTACAGCCTTGGCTTCCATCAGCCCCGCTCTATGCGGCTGCTGCGTCTCAGGGTCCTTCAGTACTAGCTGCAAAGCGCCTCTGAGAGAAAGGTGCCCTCAATTTTCGCCTGCTGCCAAACAGTCTATGGCTCTCCCCCAATGAGCCCGGTATTGGGGTTCAGTTCAGTTGGAAGTGGAGTTGGAGGTGGCGTTCAGAGCAAACTAGAGCCCCAGTCTCCTCCTGCCAGGGCAATCCTGAGGCACAGCTGACCATCCTTTCTCTGCATGCAATGTGCGCGCCGTCGGGACCTCCTTTCACCGCTCCCCCGAGGTTCTGCCTTACAGCCCAGCTCCCTATGGATGAGCCTGGGTCCCCGGGGTCTGGCCTAGAACTGGGGTTCAGAGCAGTCACAACTGGGGCCCAACACAGTCAGAGTTTTATCTCCTTCCCGCTAGGGAACACCAGCCAGGCACTTGGCCTCCCTCCTCTCCGGCTCCGTCCTCTCCGCGCGCCGCGTGTCTCCGTACCTTGAGCTTTTACAGCTCCTTCCTTCTGGTTTTCTCCTTGCTTCCCATTGTAGAATTTCCAGTCAGTCGACTTTCCTGTAGTTCTGAGTAATGTCCATTTTATATTTTAGTTGTATTTTATTGAAATTGTTGTGTGCGGCTGTGGCTAGGTGTTTACCTGGGCGCAGCCCCACCTCGATACATTTAATAAAAATGTTTTTAAATATAAAAGGAAGCCAGGTCTCAGTTTCTTATCACAAAATTCCCCCAACTGATAGAAGATAAAATCAGACCCACCCACTGAGCCCCTCTCCCAGGAATGTCACATGAAGCCTGAGACTTATTCTGGGTCCTTAGGCAAAACATTGTGTGAGGGCACTCCCTCACAGCTCGCTATGGCCTCTGGTCCTTTAGATGCTGCCTGGAGGCTGCATCCTGGGACCCAGCCCTGGTTTTCTCTCAGATACTGAACAAAAATGATCTCGCTTAGAGACATTTTCCTTGAATCTTCCTCACAGAGAGGCTCATTTCCTGCTAGTCATGTTCACTTAATGACTTCTAAATGGAAAGACAGAAATAAACAAACCCCATTACATTAAAATAGCAATCCTCCACGACCAAGTAGGGTTATTCCCAGGAATTATATTTTAAAATATATATTGAAAGGGAAAGTTAGGGCTCTGGATTAAGATGGCAGTTGAATGAATACTTCTAATTTCATGCCCTCCCCAAGCCCCACTAAAATGTCAATAAAGAGACTTTTAAATCACGCTTTAAACCCACAAGGATGGAGCAAACAGGGGGAAAAGACAACAGCCACAAACGTTTTGAAGGAGGATGGCAGACACCCTTGCGGTTACTGACTTTTCAGCCCTGCAGAAAAAGATGTGTCAGATGGCAGTGGAGGGAACTGAGGGCCAACCTGTCTTAGAGTGCAAGGTTCTCAGAAGGCACAGAACTTTGCAACCCGAGGTACCTCTGGAACGGTGGGAGAGATTGCTAATATAAGGACCAAGAAGTGAAGGAGTTAGAACTCCAAGTCACTGGAAAACAGCCCCTCCTCTCTCCCAGCGAGTCCCGAGGACTTACTCTGAAGAAGGGAAAATGGAGGGTATTGGGTTGGAGAAGCTTCACGTACGGTTATGAATGGAGATACTATGCTGAATATTGTGAAAGCAAGAGGATTACTTGTCGTATGAGATGCTGAGTGCGCAGACCCTGAGCCTTCTCCCACCATTGGACTCACAAAGCTCTGGGAGCAGGACCTTCGGCATCTAGGCAGGAGACTGGAAGACTCTGCTCTGGGGTATGTCACTAGTCCAAAAGGAAAGGCTAAAGATACTGACACAGGCGTTTTCCCAGCGAAATCACCCGACAGAGGCAACCCAAGCCTGTGAGCTCAGTCTCTGACTAGCTTCCCTCCCATCCCACAGCCTTATTCATGGTATCAGGTCACCAGATGTCCAGGACATCTTCTCAAGCAGGAGAGAGAGATAAAACCAACACCCAGAAAAAGCAACTTGGAGGAAACAAGTTATGCAGAGAAAAGAAAGTGTCCAAACCACCACTGTTAATAGCCTTAGAGAGGTAAGAAAAGATACACTATCCATGAAATAAGAACAATTGGCTATACAAAGGAACATCCGGAGCATAGCAACAGCAACAACTATGTCTTGAGAAATAAAATCACAACAGCAGAGACAATAACACCTGTAGAAAGATAAGGAAGATAAGGTTGATTAAATCTCCCTAGAAAGTAAAACATACATACTAAGAGATAGAACATATAGGCCAGAAAAGATAAGAACCTTAGAGGACAATTCTAGGAGTTCAACATCAAATTAATAGACATTTCAGCCGAAGCCGGTGGACTGAAGGGACCTGGGTTTGATTCCAGTCAAAGACACATACCTGGTTGCAGGTACAATCCCCAGCTCTCTCTCTGTTTCCCCCCACCTTTCTAAAAATCAATGGAAAAATATCCTCCAGTGATGAGTAATCATCATCATAATTATTATTATTATAGAAGTTTCAGAAAGAAACTTTCTAAAAATCAATGGAAAAATATCCTCCAGTGATGAGTAATCATCATCATAATTATTATTATTATTATAGAAGTTTCAGAAAGAAAAGAAAAAGAAAAGAGAGGAAAATGGAAGGGAGAAAATCACCAATGAACTAAGTTGAGGACATTTTCCAGAACAGAAGGATACTTGCCGAAACCGGTTTGGCTCAGTGGTAGAGCGTCGGTCTGTGGACTGAAAGGTCCCAGGTTCGATTCTGGTCAAGGGCATGTACATTGGTTGAGGGCACATCCCCGGTAGGGGGTGTGCAAGAGGCAGCTGGTCAATGTTTCTCTCTCATCGACGTTTCTAGCTCTCTATCCCTCTCTCCTCCTCTCTGTAAAAAATCAATAAAAAAATAAAATAAAATAAAAAAAAGAACAGAAGGACATGAGTTACCAGACCATAAGGGTGCGTTCACCAAGACCCAAGATTGTGGCTGAAGGTAAACCCACACCAAGGCAACACTAGTAGTTCAAAAGCAATGCTTTCAAAATGCTGAAAAAAAATTTACTTTCAATCTAGAATTTCTATCCATTCAAGCAATCAAGTAAAATGATAGAATATAAACATTTTCAGACATATAAGACTTCAAAAAGTTACCTCCCATGCAGTTTCTAAAAAAAATACTAGAAAAAATGCTCCACCGAAACCAGAAAGTAAATCAAGAAAGAAAACATGGGCTGCAGGACGCAGATGCACCAAAGGCAGAGGCGACAGAGCTCCTTGGAAGATGGTGAGGGGACACCCGGGTGTCAGCTGTACTCCGCAAGTCCCAGTTCAGGTCGGAGCAGTGTCACTAATCAGGAGCCTCTGCTGGGGTCACTGCCAAGACCCTGGGTGCTGGGGGACCAGCTTTGGAATCTCAGGCCAGAATATTTGGGTGAGCCTGCTCCCATTCTTACTTACACTTGCCTTGTTTTGACCAAGTGCGCTGAGGCTGTTCTCCTCTCCAGGCCCTGCTGCCCGCAATGTTCCGCTTTGACCTGCCCACCCTGAGAGAAGGAGATAGGAGTGAGCTAGGAAGCAGGGAGCACAAAGCAGCCACTGCCTCTGACCATGTTCCATCCAGCTCTTCAAGGTCTGGCTGGCACTACAGCCCTTGCTTCAGGGAGTTCTGTGTTTCCAGGACCCCCTCATGACCTTGCCCACGGGTAGTCCCAGCAAAGGCCCTTGTTAACTCTCAGAGAAGCCAAAGCCACACCAAGATCCAGAGGCTCAGGGCACCTCTTCTCCCGAAGTCTTCATCTAGCATGAGATCGCCCTTTCCTTTCCCAGTTAGGATTATACTTGCATCTCAGCGTTATTTGGGAATATACACGTATGTGGTGAAATGATAAACAAAAGCAAGAGGGGGATTTACCTGGAGGTCAAAAGACTTCTTCCCTGGGGTGGAGGAGGCAACAGGGAAGTGGATATGATGGGGGAGCGGAACTCAGGGATTCTAAGATAGTGGTCATGTCCTATTTCTTACCCTATGTGGTAGATATATATGGGTATTCACTTTATTATTTGGTTTAAAATAATATATACATTTTTCCCCTTTTTGCATGTACTTTTATATACTCTTCTGAATGACAATATATTTTTTTCAATATCAATTTAGATGCATTAAATAATATTTCAATAGGCTAACTAAGAAAACTGTCATTGCCTAGCCTATGAACCAGGAAGTCATGATTCAATTCCTGGTCAGGACACATGCTCAGTCCCCAGTGTGGGGCATGCACGAGGCAGCTGATCAATGATTCTCTTTCATCATTGATGTTTCTATTTCTCTCTCTCTTCCTTCCTCTCTGAAATCAATAAAAATATATTTTAAAAGTAAAAATAAAAAATATTCATTAAAAAATGTAAAAATGGAGATTCTGCTATTAATGCTGACATTTAACTTTGACTTGCAAATTGTTGCCATTGCAAAAAGATGAGAAGAAAAAGGAGGAGGAAGATGAAGAGAAGTAGAGAAAGGAGGAAGAGGAGAAGTAATAATAAATGTAAAATATTGGAAAAGAGTAATGAGAAGCCAAAATATCATTATAACATGAAACATTTGGAGAACATTAGGAAAAAAATGTAATTAAATTAAAGCAAAATATTCCCATCAATAGCTTTTCTACATAAGAATTTAAAGAAAAATTACATTTTACATAGGCAAAATATTTTTAAAGAAAGAAACTTTCCACAAAATGAAAAGAACCTATGTGAAGAAAACTTTACTGAGAGATATAAAAGAGGCCTCAATAAATACTTTCATAATGTATATGTACATCAAATTATCACATTATACAGTTTAAATACATTATAATTTTGTCAACTATACATCAATAAAACTTTAAAAAAGAAAAAGATCTTGATAAATGTAGAGACAAATCTTCTTTTTGGATCAACCTCTCATTTTATAAGGTCATTAAATTTTTTATTTATATGTTGAGTACTATTCCAATTAAAATAAAATATCAATGAAATTTTAAAAATTTGAAATAATTATTCTAACACACACCTGTAAGACTAATAGGCAAAATTCTGAAGAACCTTTGGGAAAAGAAGAGAGGCAAATAGGATGTATGGCAAAAAAAATGCTCCCTTGGGTAATATGTATTCATTTACATAAATATTAAGCTAATTATAAAGTTGCAATGATTTAAAAATAATTTTCATAAATATTAAACTGTTATAGAGCTATAATGGTGTTTTAAAAAAAACATATTTTATTGATTTTTTACAGAGAGGAAGAGAGAGGGATAGGAAGTTAGAAACATCGATGAGAGAGAATCATCGGTCAGCTGCCTTTTCCACACCCCCTATTAAGGATGTGCCGGAAACCAAGGTGCATGCCCTTGACCGGAATTGAACCTGGGACCTTTCAGTCAGCAGGCCGACGCTCTATCCACTGAGCCAAACCAGTTTCAACTATAATGGTTTTTTACAAAACTGTGATTCTGGCACAAGAATCAATAGGCAGGTCAAAGCAGCGGGAAGAAGCACTAGCCAAATTGTTGTCTCGTTTCTTTGCTCTTCACAGCAGAAATGCTCCAGAGTTGTCTGCGCCATCACCTCTACTTTCTTTTTTTTTTTTTTTTTTTTTTTTTTTTTTTTTTTTTTTAATTTTAATATATTTTGTTTAATCCCAAATCCCCAAAATAGTATTTTAGAATATTATTATAAGAACTATCCATTGTTATTTATTTATATTCCTTTTTTCATGCTCACTCTGTGAAATCCGGCGTATATATTTTTTTTTTTTTAATAAGTTTTTATTGTTCATATTATTACAAATGTTCCTTTTCCCCCCCCCCCCCACCATTGCTCTCCTCCACCAGGTTCCCACCCCACCCTCTGCCCTTTCCCCTCTCCCCATTGTCCTCATCCATAGGTGCACAGTTTATGTTCAGTCTCTTCCCACGCCCCCCTCTCCCCTTTTCCCCAAGAATCGTCAGTTCACTCCCCTTCCATATCTCTGATTCTATTATATTCAACAGTTAATATTGTTCATCAGATTTTTTTTTAATTTCCTTGGTTTTTAGATTCACTTGTTGATAGTTACGTATTTGTTGTTCATAATTTTTATCTTTGTTTACCTTCTCTTCTGAAAGAACCCCCTTCAGCAATTCATATAATTCTGGTTTGGTGGTGATGAACTCCATTAGCTTTTTTTTATTAGTGAAGCTCTTTATCTGGCCTTCGATTCTGAGTGATAGCTTTGCTGGGTAGATTATTTTTGGCTGTAGGTTCTCGCTATTCATCACCTTGAATATTTCTTGCCATTCCCTTCTGGCCTGCATGGTTTCTGTTGAGAAGTCAGCTGACAATCGTATAGGTGCTCCTTTATAGGTTACTACCTTCTTTGCTCTTGCTTCTTTTAATATTCTCTCTTTGTCTTTTGCTCTTGGAATTTTAATAATGATGTGTCTCGGTGTGGTCCTCTTTGGATTCCTTTTGTTTGGAGTTCTGTATGCTTCCTGGACTTGTAAGTCTAATTCTTTCACCAGATGGGGGAAGTTTTCTATCACTATTTCTTTCAGTATGTTTTCGATATCTTGCTCTCTCTCATCATCTGGGACCCCCATAATTCTGATGTTGGTTCGCTTGAAGTTGTCCCAGAGGTTTCTTACATTATCTTCAATTTTCTGGATTCTCTTGCCTTCTAGCTTCTGTGGAGGAGTGTCTTCTGGCTCTTTATGTTCCAAATCTTTGACTTGATTCTTGCGATCTTCCCTTCTGTTTTTAGGACTCTGTAAAATATTTTTTATTTCAGACAATGTATTCTTTATTTCTTGTTGACTCCTTATTAATTCTAGTTGATCTCTTTTCATATCCTCGTAGGCCTTATCCATCTTTTCTAGGAAATTCTTGAAAAACCTTGTAAGCGTAGATTTGAACTCTATATCCAGACGCTTTTTGTCCTCCATTTCTTTCGTTTGTGATCTATTTTGTTGTCGCATTTCGCAGTTACAGATGGGACGGGGTTTCAGGGTGGAGCCTACAGCCTTGGCTTCTGTCAGCCCCGCCCTATGCGGGTCCTTCAGTGCTCGCTGCTGCCGGCGCCTCTGAGAGAAAGGTGCCCTCGATTTTCGCCTGCTGCCAAACAGTCTATGCTCTCCCCCAATGAGCCCGGTATTGGGGTTCAGTTCAGTTGGAAGTGGAGTTGGAGGTGGCGTTCAGAGCAGTCTGGAGCCCCAGTCTCCTTCCCGTCAGGGCAATCCCGCGGCACAGCCGACCGTCCTTTCTCTGCGCGCAGTGTGCGCGCCTCCGGGACCTCCTTTCGCCTCTCCCCGGGGTTCCGCCTTACAGCCCGGCTCCCTATGGCAGAGCCTGAGTCCCCGGGGTCTGGCTTAAAACTGGGGATCAGAGCAGTCGGGGGCCCAGCACAGTCGGAGTTTTATCTCCTTTCCGCTAGGGAACGCCCGCCAGGCACTCGGCCTCCCTCCTCTCCGGCTCCGTCCTCTCCGCGCGCCGCGTCTCCGTACCTTGGCTTTTCCAGCTCCTCCACACCTCCTTCTGGTTTTCTCCTTGCTTCTCGCTGTAGAATTTCCAGTCAGTCAACCTTCCTGTAGTTCTGGGCAATGTCCGTTTTATATTTTAGTTGTATTTTATTGAAATTGTTGTGTGCGGCTGCGGCTAGGTGTTCACCTGGGCGCAGCCATCTTGGATCCCACCTCTACTTTCTTACCTCCTGTCCAGCTTCCAAACAACGTTTGCCAAGTCACCAATGCCTTTAGATTGCCAAGTCCAATGAACCATAATCTTCTTCCTTGACCTTCCTGAAACAGTAGACCCATCGGTCACTTCTTGCACACTCATTCTACTGGATTCTGGAGACACTGCACCTATTCGGTTCTCCTCTTTTATCCCTCTGCCTCCTCCACATACAGTCTTCCTTGCCTAGGTGATCTCACTTGGTAATAAGGCTTTAAATACCAACTCTGACCTCTAAGCTCCAGACATTCAACCACCTCCCTGACACCTCCACTTAGCTAAGAGATACTGCAAACTTTTTAAAAATATATATATTTTACGAGCACCCTCATCCAGGCACTGCCCATTGGTTTCCTTTGCAAAATCTACTTCCAGTCATCATTCAGCACTCAGACAGAGCCAAGGGGATGCCTCTTGCCCATAGCTATGAAGTTGACAGTGGACTGGCTCTAGCAGCAAGGCCAGACAAGCTCTAATCACAGGCTTTTGCTCACCTGAGATTGAGATCTGGGGCTTATAGTTTGGAATACAATATAAGTGAAGGTTTTTGTTGTTGTTTGTATTTTTTAAGAAGTACACTTGATTATTTTATTGCTATTTAAAAATAAATGACTTTATATTGATTGTGGGGGGAAATATATATATATATATTATTGATTTTTACAGAGAGGAAGGGAGAGGGATAGAGAGTTAGAAACATGGATGAGAGAGAAACATCCATCAGCTGCCTCCTGCACACCCCCTACTGGGGGTTTACCAGCAACCAAGGTACATGCCCTTGACCGGAATTGAACCTGGACCTTTCATCCGCAGGGTGACACTCTATCCACTGAGCCCAACCAGTTTCGGCGATGCTGCAAATTTTTTACGTCCAAAATAGAATTCCTTTCCCAATCATTCTCCCTACACACACATACATAAAAGTTACCAAAAGATCTTTTTCCTCAGCCTCCCCATTCTTTCCTGCTTTATTTAATAGTACTACCTTTCTCCACTCAGTTGACTAGCCAAAATGAAAGCTGCTGTGCCTCATCCCTCTCTTGCTCTCACCCTTACATCTAATTCATCAGCAAACCGAAAACACTTCTCACATCAATGCCCCTTACCTCTCTCCATCACCAACAACATCTCACCTAGGCTACTGCTTCCTCTCCCCAGCCTCTGGCAACTACTGCCCCTTTTATTGTCTCCATAGTCTTGCCTTTTCCAGAATGCCATTTGATTGCAATCATACAGTATGTGCCTTTTCTAATTGGCTTCCTTCACTTAAGATCTAACAGATGTTCAAGAGGAAGTTGCTGTTGTTGCATTGATTTTAATATTTGTACATAAACACTGATTTTTTAAGCATTATTTTGTATTTGTTATACTTTAGTACCTGTACAGTTCCAGAAATAAAAATCTGGAAATCGAGAGAGAGAGAGAGAGAGAGAGAGAGAGAGAGAGAGAGAGAGAGAGAGAGAGAGAGAGAGAGAGAGAGAGAAAATCATTGATTGGCTGCCTCCTGCACGCCCTATACTGGGGATTAACCCACAACCTGGGCATGTGCCCTGATCAGGAATCAAACCATGATCTCCTGGTTTATATGTCAACACTCAACTACTGACCCACACTGGCTGAGCTAAATTTTTAATTTTTAAATTTATATAAATTTATGTTTTTGTTATTCCTCACCTGAGGATATTTTTTCATTGATGTTTTGAGAGAGTAAGAAGGGAGGGGGAGAGCCAGAGAGAGAAACATTGATGTGAAAGGAACACATGGATCATTTGCCTTCTGCACACTGTGGATCAAGCCTGCAATCCAAGTACTTGCCCTTGACCAGAATCAAACCTGAGACACTTCAGTCCACAGGCCGATGCTCTATCTACTGAGCCAAAGAGGCTAGGGCAATTTTTTAAATTTTTTTTAATTTTGTTGTTCCACTTATTTATGCATTCATTGGTTGCTTCTTGTATGTGCCCTAACTAAGATTGAACCTGCAACCTTGGTGTATCAGGGCGATACTCTAACCAACTGAGTTACCCCACCAGGGCTATGCATTAATTTTTAATCAATACAACACACATCACCCAGGTAGGTGTATCAGCACATTGAACCCATCCATCATCCCACAATCCTGTGCTCTTCCTGGATCCCATGCTAGGATCTCCCTCACCTGCTCCCAGTGGCCTGGCTGACATCTCTGCAATCACTTCCCTGTCTAACCTCCCAGGGCTCAACTGTTCTCTCACTTCCTCTCCATTCATGCTACGAGGCTTTCTGCCCCTTCTCCTGGGACAGAGGGTGCACATTCAGGGTACTCCTAGGAGCGGACAATGGACCAGGAGCAGCATGGGGCTTGCATTAGCCATTTGAGAGTGGCGTTTGGTTTGGTCCTGAGAGGCAGAGGGAGGGGGATAACAGGGAGAAGGGCCACAGCAGAATCAGCAAAAAAGACCCCGGTTGGGCTCCTAAGCCAGCCCTGTGGGGCTATCCCCTCCCAGGAGGTCAGAACACCTTCCCAGCACCCAGGAGGCCAGTGCCTGCAGGTGAGTGCCTGCTCTCTCTGAGAGAGGCAAAGAAAAGTGGGGGTGAGTGAGAAGCAGAGTGGTGTGGGGAAGGAGGCCTGAGGAATGGAGATGGGACCCCAGGAGCCCTATCTGCTCTGGTCCCCACCCTCCTTCCCTCCTGTGGCCGGCTCCTTGGTTGGGGGAAGGTGGATGTGGACCTGGCAGAGGGTCCCTCCAGTGAGTCCCCTGCATTTCATCTCTTTGTGTCTTTAGCTCTTGAGGATTAGGGGTGGATAGAGCAAGGGTCAGGGAGGTCTGCTGCACGCTTTACTCAGTAATTTAAAAAAACAAAGCAAAGCTTTAATCGTTGGACAAGGACAGCTGTTCCAAATGTCTCCTTGTTTCTTCAGCCCTTAGATTAACTCACTCTTACTGTCTTCCAGTGTGTCAGACTCCTCATTTGTGAAGTGGGGGCGATAATAGTACTTCCTTCACAGAGTCACCAGGAGCACTAAATGAATTAGTCCAAAGTGTTTTGAACACATAGAAATGGCACATAAAAATACTGTGGACATGCTCGATATTATATTCCTACTAGAGGCCCCGTGCACAAAATTCATGCATTTGGAGGGGGGGGGGGTCCCCCTCAGCCTGGCCTGTGCTTTCTCCCTTCTCACAGTCCAGGAGCCCTGTGATCTACAGCGAAGAAGGCCACGCCTATCGCCACAGCGCCACCCTCTTTGGGACAATCTTAGAGCCCCCTCCTGTCCCACCGGCCAGTGACCTGGGCCTCCCTCTGTAGGGTAATCATGGGGTGATGATGGGGGTCCCCCAACCAATCGCATCGCGCCCTCCTTGGCTGGCCTGGTGCCAGTGTATGTCATAGCATGATTGTCAGGATGGTGGTTCTGCTTTTCAGCCATTTGGTCAATTTGCATATCATGTTTTTATTATTATAGATCACATGTGTCAAACACAAGGCCCGCGGGCCAAATCCGTCCCGCCAGGCCTTGCAATGTGGCCCGCACCGCGCTGTCATCACTGCACTCCACTGCGTTTCCATCACAATGACAGTTTATGACTGTTCAGTAAACCATTCGGCCCGCGATTTAGGCTGGATTTTAGATTTTGGCCCCTTCTCTGATTGAGTTCGACACCCCTATTATAGATGGTGTCATGGTTCTGGGAGTAATAAACAAAGCTGCCAGGGGGATGGAGGAGGTGGAGAAGTTTGACTAGAAGAGATTGGTGGGGATGGGGGTACAAGAGAGGGTGGGGACAAGGAAGAGATGAGAGTGGCTAGGAGAGGATTCCTGCCAGGAATGGCCTACAAGGTGCGCTCTAGCCCGCAGGCAGAGGTAAGGAGATTGTGGCTGGCAGGAGCTGTGATGCCATCTGCAAAGTTGATCTGTTTAAGTTTTATAGGGCAGAGTAGGCCCCAGGGGAAAGTGTCCTGGTTCTCACTCCCCAGTGAAAAAGCTCAGTCCCTTCCTAGAGCAGAGGTTTCCTCATCGGCCCCTCCCATCCTGCTGCAGACCACGGACCACCCAGGCACAGGACTGGGGGTGGGATGGGTGACAGGTCAGTGGCTGCACTGGGGGCTCTGCTCCAAGCCCCTCCTCCCACACAAACTGGAGAAGGAGCAAACTTCAGCCCAGTGCCTGAGGAGCTCAGCTGCTTCCACAGCAGGGGACGGAGACCTATTGCCCCAGATGCTTCTGCCTCTGGCTTCCCCTCCCGCCCCCCTGCCCGCGGTAATGCCCCCATCCTTCAGGTGCTTGGAGGACAGATGGGAGCAGCTGAGAGGCCTGCAGGGCTGGGGGAGGATGACCACAGAGTTAGCAAAACATCGTCCAAGGGAGGCCTGGTGGTCAGGCTGGCGGTGGGCGGAAGGCACGCCCCTCTCCCTCTCCCACTAGGGGAGAAGCCAGCAGCCCGACACAGGCAGCTCACCTGTGCAGGCCTCCCGCCTCCGGAGGCAAGGGCTGGGAGGAATCTCCCAGCAATCTCTAGTCCTCATCTCAGCCCTCCTCCCAGTCCTGATACCTGAGGCCTCCGTTATGTAAATGTCAGAATTACTAAATGGCAAAGTTGATGCTGGGGACAGCAACCACCTCACCTACCGGAGAGAGGGCCTGGGCTGCACAGGAAATGAGGGAGGGGACATGCCCGTGCTTAGGCTGCTGGTGAAAAGAGAGGAGCCCTTCTGGGTGCCTTCAGGTCCCTTCTCTCCCCTCACCCACCTCCTCTCCTGCCCTCTCCTGGGCTAGAGTGGGAAGTTGGTATCTAGTGTGCGGGTTGTGGGTGCAAGCAGCTTATGTTGATATGCATCCTACTCCCACCACAGGTGTAGCCCCTGATCGGGTTGCCTGTGGGAGGGGAGCTGGAGGAACCCCTTTGTAAAGCTTTTCCAGGAAGAAGGGCTGGGGTGAGGGGGACTAACTGGAAATACTAGAGCCTCTGGTTTCACGAGGTGAAATAAGCCGTTTATCAAATGCAGCCCTAAGCCCAAAATCCTAATATCGAGTCTGAATCAGCGCCACTCGGGAGGCCTGTGTCCCAGCCCCGTCCCGGGCAGGGCTGTGAAGGAGGCCCTGTCCCTTCTCTCAGGGCTGGGCCACTGCTGATAGGAAGGTGAAGTCATGTCTGCGAGGGCAGGGCAGGAAGAGATTGCAGGGTGGGGACCTCCGGGAGCTTCAGGGGGAGCTGGGGCGGCGCGAAGGGAACCCAGAGGCCACACTGAGAAGCTGAGGTGGGAGAGGCTGCTTCATCCGGGCGCCCTGGGCAAGGCCCTGCCCTTCC